AACAATTGCAGTGATGGGGCACAAACCAGAAAAAATGCAGAGCAGTTTGACGTAATTGTTTTGGCTCTGCAGTACTAAGAAAAAAAAAGAAAAAAAAAAAGGTAGTAGATGTCATTTCTCCCAGAATGAAAGATGCTAATATTTGACTGTACTCAAGAAGAACAGCTGTTGATTATAACATCTCATATTTGCATCATCACTTTTTGAGCACAACTATATTTGAAGTTTTAGTCCTTGAAGATCTTGGTTTTTTTTCCTACTCTCTATTTCTAACTTTTACCTCACTTTGACATAGTCATAAGTCTATTTTGGTTTTACACTCAGGGACGAGTCAAGAGTCATGGAGATACTATATTGTGTGCTCTTTCTGTCATCTGTAATTTCTCTCAACATTCATCATTCTAAATCAGGCTCCAAGTTGCTACTAAATATATGCCTCTTACTGAATACATGGTTTGAACTCCTAAAGTCCTGTTCCATTAGTGCAAAGGTACAGCCACATCAAGAGAAACTGCTTTACAGATCTCATACTACGTCAACATGAACTAATGCACATCTCCTCCTAACATGAAAAGCCATGAAATAATATTATCCAGTAATTCCATTATATCAACTACTGGAAAAGTAATTTCTTAATTAACTAGTATTAACTAGTATTCATAAGTTTCTGGTTAAGAATATTCCTGCTAGTAGATACTTATAACAAGAGTGAAGCTTACGCTGAACTTTCCTTTCCCCTTCTCATCTTTCTTTATTTCTTTAGAGAACACCTATTGTATATACCAGCTGCATATCAGCCAGGTGTTGCCCCAAAAATGTCAGCTACTGCTTGAGGCAGGGAGCAAATGCAATTTGGGACACACTGGTGACAGCTTGACACTTACAGTGGCAATGTTTAAATTTTTAACCAGGCATGCAACAGAAAAAACTTACAGTTTGGATTATTCTTGAAAAACACACCACCCAATGTCTTACAGCTGGGATATGCAATGACTGATGTGGAGGCAGCAGCCCAAAGGACTGCCTTCCATGAAATATTGTAAACTAGTTCCAGAAACATTCAGTAACTGTCAGGAGACTTGCTTGTTAGGTCAGAAACGAATGCTTTAAAGCAGTTCATTACTTCTACATGGAAAAATTAGTATACAAAAAATATGTAAAATATATAAAATATAGGGCCTGAATATTTCTTTCACTAGTTAATAGTTTCTCTTTCCAAATTCCTACCTATCAGTTTCTACCAATATGCCCAATGTTTTTTCAAATGAAGTTTGTATCAAATCATCCTCCAACTTATAAATGAAACATCTGAGACAAAATGTGAAGCAAAACATATTTAGTTCTTTTCATAGCACTGTATGAGTAGTTTAGTGAAGTCATAAGAAGCAAAATTAAAAAAAAAAAACAACACACAAAAACATGCCAAGCTCAAATTAAAAGTGGTCTATTCCTGTACAGCTATTTTCTACCCATGTATGTGCAGTACTTACTTAAACCTAAGATGATCTTTTTCTTTTAAGAATTAGAAATCCAATTTTATACAGATTTCTTTCTAGCAGCACGCTACGTCTTCCTTGCATTTGCACTGTATTTATAAATCTTTATACCTGTGAAAAATGAAATACGCCCATTGTAATTCTTAGTCTTCATTTTCTCTTGAAACGATAAAGTTTCCAGAAAAATGCTGGGTTTTTACTATCTCAGAGGGATGAACGCTGCATTTGGAATGATAGATTCAATATGCATTTTCTCTTTATATGAAAGTGATAAGTGTATTTTTCTTGGAGTCAATAGGCTGATCTTAGGGCTATTCAAGATTTGGATGAATATGAACCATACACTCAGAATGTAGACATTTATGTCATACCTCCAGTTAACCATTGCCAGTCACCTCTGGCAGGCATTGGTCCTATGTAATGTTTAGAGAAAGTATCTATGCCTGCAAACAGGCATTGCTATTGATACCTCAACCCTAATGAGAACTTGCTTCCTTTGAAGATTGATTGATTCTTCATTTTACTCAATACACAAGTCTATTTCAAAGAGTATTAAAGAATTTAAACATTGTGGTCATCAAGAATCCCAGAGCCAGGATATCATATTTATTTACCTCTCTTGTGTCAATGTTTACTAACAGATAAACACTGAAAAGCAGGGAGAAGGGTCAGAAAATGAAATATGCTGCTCTCTTAGGTTATCCATTCACTCTTAGACCTCTGTTTTCTACATCTTTATTAATTCAGTGATGGATTCCTTGGCCAGAAACCCCCTTATTCTTTAGTACTGGTTACACAAAGCACAAAAACCACCATAACTTGCATTGGAGAATAGTGTGATATAGCTCAGGAATCTGAATGTGAATTTGTTTATTGCTCAATGTGAAATTGAGCAATACTGGTAAAAAGTTATAATAATTTTCTACAGTCAGAAACATATCTGTTCAGACCTTTCTCAGCTACACGATTCTGATGTTGTGCCTCAAGTCATCTCAACATTCATTCATTCATTTCAGATTCACTTTTTCATTCCAGGAAGTTAAGTAAAAATTTATCTCTCTGCACCCACCATTTCCTGGGTATTTTGCTGTGTTATGCTTGTCAACTAGTCACTGCAATGCATTATTCTTTTATTGCAGTGTTTCTGAGGAATGTGGCTTCAAAACTGCATTGTGAAGAGGTCTGTAAGTTTCCCATCTCTGACTGCAAATTGAAAACAGGACTAACATGATCAAATGTCAATATATGAACTGCCAATACCCAAAGAAGAAAGAACCTACCACCACACAAATTCACGGCATGTAAAAATATTTCTCTCAGTCCAGCAGTAACAACCTGTTGTTTCTGTATACACTCTCTGGTCATAGAGACAAACAATCCTCTCATTTTATCTGTGAGCAAAGTTTTCCAGTGAAAACAATATATCTAATATGAACAACAATTAGAAAACACATCTACTGTTAAAATATTCCAGAACTGAAACCCTACACAATTAGCAGTCTCACCAAAAAGGAGAAGTAGAAAATCATGGGAAATAATCCAGGCATTAACCAATCACACCACACAGCTAAAATCTAAGTATTATGCAGCACAGTTGTTACTCAGCAAGAAGGAAGAGAGGGTGTACCAAGAATGTACTTTTTTCTTTCAGGATTATAATTCAATTTAGAAACTAAAGTGATCATGAAGTACACATGCTAGAGTTTAATTTTAGGTCAGAGTCGTAAGTTTTAAAATACTGGCATCCTAGATTTTAAAAACATTATCCTGAGTGATGAGTGATGAGCACAGCCTCATATGGATCACTCTTAGTTTGGAAAATGTAACAATTACTGATGCCAGCAAGAAATCACACCAAGGCCAGATGAGGTTAATAAGAAATCAAACTCCATGTCAGTAGCATAATAGAAACTGAACTGAATAATCAAATGGGCAGAGTATTCATGCAGCCCAAGCAGGAAACTCCAAATAAATGAAAGGCACAAGGAAAGTCTAATTGTAAGCACTTAAATCGTTAAGTTGAAAAAGTTCTTTGTGTAGAATGCTGTAAGTTTCATATTACTTAAAATATAAAGGGATCTCATAACTTTCACCACAGTAAAAGGCAAGAACTGAAAAAAATCGCAATATAGCAAGATTAGTTCAAAACTGTTAGATGTAGCAACACGGAGAATTTATTTCACATTCATTCTCTACACTTCCCAAACTTCAGATATTTTTGAAGATGTACAACCACAGCAGCATTCCCGTGTTCTCAGATCTTGTTTTGCAACTCTTTCAATCACTGGCATTTTTATGGGAAGCATATATAACAAAGAAGAAAAAGGCTGTCATTTAAGACACCCAGTAACAACTTCAACACCAAAGATGCTAATCCAGATTATCTGAAGGAATAATTTAGGGCAACTCTTTGACGTAATCAGTGACATGCACTTAATATCTATCAGTACCAGGTTCATTATAAAAAATGTAACAATAAGAAACATTTTAATTATAGTGGAGAGAAACACCTTCCATTTCTTATTCCAGAGTTCTGCAAAGAAGAATGCCTTTTAAGCACACAGGCAGAATATCTACACATGTACCAAACTTTCAGTGACAGAAGGGGAGATAATGTACAGCATTTAAACAGTTTACGAATGTCTGTAACCTGAAAATTCCTGTACCATTTGCATCAGCAGCAGGCCAACAATGCATATCAACACAGCTGTAAGTTGATCAATTTGTAGTAAAACTAAGTATTCAGTATACCTATCCTGCATGGAAATGAGACTTAAGTCCCATTTAAATATGCTCAAGAAAGTGTATTTAAATTTAAGAAAAAAAAAAAGACCTAGGCAAAAAATTTTGCATATCTTATCAATACATTTTTAAGCAGTTTACATTCATTTTACACTCCTGTTCATAAATGATTCACTGTTTTAGGACATAGTGTTAGAAATAACATTGACACAGGAAATTCATACAGGCTTTTCAATTATTTTAATGTTTATGATTAGGACTACAAGGGAGATTGTAGTCAGTTTTCAAATTACCAAAATATCTCCTAAGACCCTACACCTTAGCTGACAAGAACACGAAGGCAGGGGTCTTGATATGCCTCTGAAACAAGTACTAAGATCCTCATCAATGAATGGACCAGGTAAGAAATGTACATGCAGAAGTGAGCACTGCACTGAGTAGAATTTAGGCCATCCAAAACCAGCATTTGTTTTCTCTATTTGCACAATGCAGAGGATGAAATTCTATGGCCTACTTGTGCATAAGATTGAAAAAGATGACTCTAATGGCCTGTTTTGGACTTCAATCCATGTGTCTGATTTTCCTTTAGGCTATGCTTTCCTGCTGCTCTGGCAATAAGTAGTCTATATTTAGTCATGCTTAAAAGCATTTTTTCCACTACTACAACAGTGCAAAGGGGTTTCAGAGTAAACACAATTCACATTCTGCACAGATTTAAAAGTTCAAAGCTTTTTTTTTTTTTCTTCAGGGAAACTCTTTTACCTCTTTTTCCATTTGAATTCCTTCTGCCCTGATGTTTCTTTCAAATACTTCCCTCTTTTCTGTCTGTGGATTGGATTTTCTGTAGACCAGGATGTAGTCAATCCGACATTTTCCATCTCTAAAATACAATCCATTGGCTTTGTTTTTATCAGGTGCTTCCTGTAAAGAGAAATTCAAGCAATTCACTAATGTTAATTTGCTTTGATAGTTGTTGCATCAGCGTTTGCATCAAGTTTTCAGTAATACTTGAAAGATAAGGAATTGTGACAAGATGTCCAAGTTTTCATGTACTTTACATACAGTGCCTCTGAGGTTGTCTGAAAGAAGTACAAATTTCCCCATTTCAAAACCAGGAGGTCTTCTTTGGTAGAAGTTTGGCCATGTAGGTAGGTATGGGATAGGAGAGAACAGAGAATGCAAGTCAACATTCTTCTCCCACTACCCTCTAGAAAATTGGGAATAACTTTTTGCATTAAAAAAAGAGCAGAAAACAGTGTAAGTGAAATCTGAATATAAAAGAACTTAGTGTAGTGTAATGTCTATGTACACCCGAGAAGAATTATGAATGGCTTGAACATTAACTGTACTGAGAAACACTAAATTTGGTGAGAAGTTTCTCCTTGCTTTGTGATTACAGTAGCTCCTCTGCTTCACAGGACAGAGCCTTGTGCCTTCCTCACTCATAACTCAGAATTTTCTTGGCTTATGGAAAAGCTTAGGCAACCCACAATATATGTTTGAACATAATTCCCAGTGTTTGGTCTAGTGATACATAAAAGGAATAAGTAGTATTTCTTGATCATTTCCATCAAAGAATGTGCCTGTCCAAATTTTTGCTCAGAGAGAAAGAAAATGCTGTTAATAAGAGGTCAAGTGGGTCCTTCTAATGAGATCCAAGAGGCAAACTTCTGGTCTGTTTTAGAAATTTACGAGATGAAGTCCTCTGAAGCTTCTCCTCACAACTAAACACTACTTCCACACAATGCGAATTTTGCCCAGGGATTAAATTTTTTCCTTCACCCAAACTGAAACTGTGTGGCAGCTGGTGAGTTTAGAGCATTTTGTTGAAGTAATGGATACAGTAAATGATATGTGAAAACAAGCAGCTCTCCCTCAGAGAGGGATAATGGGTAGGGACTTCAGGGGGCATCAAGATGAGTTGACTTCAAGCTGAAGGGAGAGTTAGGCTAATTCCTCTTTCTCTTTCTAGAATTTTCTCAATTATTCCTGCCATAAAAAGCCATGCTCTATAATACATGATCCAATCCCCAGAAAAAAAAAACAAATCCACTAAATTGCCTTTCACTTATAGGAGAAATAGGGAATTTTCAGAATACTTTCAATTAGGAGAATTGCTCTTTAACTTCAGTTACAAAAAAAAGTGTTAATAATACTGATAGGTCAATTGATTCTTGAAAAGAAAGGGGAAGGGGAAGGGGAAGGGAA